ATTGTGAAGAAGTTCCTTATGAAGGCATAGAAATAGTAAACAAAAAATTGACAGATGTGGTTCAAAGATGTAGGCGCAAAAGAAAATTTAAATTGGGGTATACGATTTATTTGAACGCTATTGAAAGTATAGCCTTTACATATATGTATCGGTTCTGCGAGTTTGCTATAGAAATGAATCAAAGATGTGTTGAAATATCATTTTACTTAAAAGTATTTAGTGATACACTTCATAAAATTATATCGATAATTAATAGAGAATGGATTTCTCCTAAACCTCATGAATGTATTTTAGATGTTTACGAAAATCACAAATCTGAGGAAAACAAATTTAACGAAGAAAACGAAAATTACAGAAATGATTTATTACGCTGTATGAATTTAATGAAAGATAAAGTGCACTTTTTAAGAGAACCTAAAGATGAAACAATAAATACAATGACCATAAGCCAATTAGAACACTACAATAATATGAGTTATAACTATATAACTTATCACTTGACTTTAGATAAATATTCTTCTCCTTTGAAACATATAACTGGAGACAAAAGTAAGAAGGAAGTTTTTTTTATAACATTTTATTACATTATTTATGAAGAAAAAATAATAATTTTTATAATTTATGAAATATTTTTAAGTAAAATTTGTCAATCAATTTCAAGATAATGGAATTAATGGGAAATTTATAAAAAATTTATTTAAAAAAACTTAAATTATTCTATTAATATATATTTGGTAGATAACTATACATGTTTAAGAAACAACTATTCTGAGTTAAGATATTTAAGAATCGTTTTTTTTTTCTGTAGATCAAACCTCATGTATTATATGTGAGACAGAACACAGTGGTACGATTTGGCATATTTACTTTTTTTCACCGTGTGGACATGGCTGGTGCTGTGACGAGTGTTTTGGCGATATTGAAGCTTGTCCTATATGTAATGAATTGATTACAAGTACTCCAAAACTAGATATACGAACATCTGTGTCAATAGTTACTGAAAGTATGTATATTATAATTACTTATTGAAACATTAATGAAATAAAATATAAGAAGCGTTTTTTTGTATTGGCTTTTATGTTTGGTAAATTAGCTTGAGTGGTTTAAAAACCATTTTTTTTTTTTTGCTTACTACATAGTCTATCTAACGTTAAAGTTATATACTTTCAATGATAATAATTAGCATATTGGGGGTGATAAAAAGCCCCTTTGCCTCCCACTTGGATACACCACTAAAATTATATATTCATTCAAAAATTATATGATTCTCTAATTTAGAAATTTTACTGAATTCTTTACTTAGTAACCTGTTTAGGAAATTTTTATGGATATATTTTTAAATATTACCAATAAAAAAGTTTTTGATAATAATTGAAATGAAATCATATGGCTATTTGAAATAGTAGTTTTAACATTTTTGCAAGAACGATGTATAATTGTTGTTACGGTTTTTTTAATTTAGCAGAACTAAATTTATACTAAAAAATATATAAACATATCAAATTTTTCGTTTTTTCAATAGCTAAATAAATAGATTACGAATAAAAATTAATTGAAATGTTAAGTCGTATTCAAATTATGAGAGTACGTGGTTGAATTTTGTTAATAAAGTTGATATATAGAAAGCTGTTTTTTTTCGTTCAATGTATATGAAATGTGTCAGTCTCGATGATATGACATATCTAATAACTTTTTTACAATAACTATTTTATTAAACAATTTATTATTTTAAGAAATATTGCCTTCTTGTTTTCATGTTCAAAACATATATGAAACTATTTATTCCTAAAATTATCATGTAACTATCAACATTT